AGTAGTAGTAGTAGTAGTAGTAGTAGTAGTAGTAGTAGTAGTAGTAGTAGTAGCACCAGCAACAGCGACAGCAACAACAGCCGCAAAACAGCTGATGTCGTTACTGGAGGTGGAAGAGGAGGAAGATGAACAATAAGAGAAAGAAGATGATTTAGGAATGAGGAGGAGGAGGAGGAGGAAGAGGAGGAAGGGCGGGGAGAAGAGGAGGATGCGGAGGAGGAAGATGAAGAGGAGATTCGGAGGAGGAGGAAGTGAAAATTCATGATTGACGAACTATTACTATTACTATTATCGTTTGAGACATTTGAAATTAAATCTGGGACACAAGATAGCGAAAGCAAAGTATGTTACCGAAAGTGGAAAATGTGATACCCCGGGGGCGGTGCTACTAACTGAAGTGTCTTTAGGCCAGTCCCAAAGGGGGACATTAACCATGTTCTTATGCACAGTAGAATTTTAATTGTAAATGGGCTGATTCATCAATGCTATGCTCATAACTGTGCCTGAACTGCAACAGGGAACTGTTGCTTTTTCTTTCCTAATCCTTACTATCGTCATTTTTCCTCTACTTCTTTGGTATGCCTGTCACACTATTGTGACTCGTTATTTCCAGGGTGCCTTGAAAGTCGAAGCAGACTTTGTGCTGTTGAAGCTTGAGAGGTGAGTAGAGTAAGCCTGATTTCCTGTAAGGACTTCTCTGTTGACACCCACCCCTTGGCACTCATATGACCTTATGCAGTTGCGAGCGCCGTAAAACCTTTACTAAAACAAAACACTAAAATAGGAAAACGTGAGGGGCTACAAGCCCTCTTGATAAGGTTTACAAAAACTTCTCATAGCGTTCCATTAAGACACAAGACAAACGTTCTAAAAAAGGCGGAAATAATGCTTAGTGACCATAGCCACCCACTGACATCGGAATTTCAACTATCGACCCGCAGTAAACGATACATTTCCAAAAAAGCAAGAACAGACAGATAGAGAAATTCATTCGTACCAACTGCAGTGAGGTTACTGAACACACAGTGCTACAAATGAAACAGAGAGAGAGAGAGAGAGAGAGAGAGAGAGAGAGAGAGAGAGAGAGAGAGAGAGAGAGAGAGAGAGAGAGAGAGAAAGAGAGAGAGAGAGAGAGAGAGAGAGAGAGAGAGAGAGAGAGAGAGAGAGAGAGTGAGAGAGAAAGAGAGAGAATGAATATGTTACGGAGCGGGTTGTCCCAGCCCGTGAGACATGTAATTACTTGGCATAATGTCCTGTCTTGTTGTGCGTTTGCGTGAGTGCACCTTTAAGTCTAACTTTTGTAACGTCTACTGCCATTGTTAACGACCAAGACAAATTTCTCCCTGCAAGATGAATAAAGATTGTCATTGTCATTAAATAAGAATCTTTATTGGTGGAAATTAAATTCACCCTTATGCAGGGAGGTGTAGTTGAAGATGAGGTTCATTTTAATTTTTATAGTTCAAATTTTGACCTTCAAGGGAAATTGTTAATCCCCCCTGGGGGGGGCTCAGCCTGACTAGACTCATTGACAGAAACATGCAATGTTTGACCCATGAGAAGAAATGTGCAAAACCTGTACTATTTCATAATGGAAAATTTATGTATTAAATAAATTAGTGTTTTATGTGATGTGATGGGGGTCAGAGGCCTTAAACACTGAATAAACACTTACAAAAACTTCCGCAAGGACTTTATCATTATTTTTTGTGCTTGTCTTTTTAGTTTTAGCAAGTGTTTTACCTCTCAACCAATCACTCACAAACAAGGAAAGAGAGATTTAGAGTTGGGGAAAAAGTAAGAAGGACATAGTGTTGGGAAAAAAAACCTCTCTAGCTTCAACAGCGTAAAGTGCACTTCGACTATCAAGGCACCCTGGAAATGACGGGTCACAAGAGTGTGACAAACATACAAAAGAAGTAGAGGAAAAATGACGACAGTCAGGATTAGGAAAGAAAAAGCAGCAGTTCCCTGTTGCAGTTCAGGCACAGTTGTGAGCATGACATCGATGAATCAGCCCATTTATAATTCTTAATTCTATTGAGCACAAGAACAGGTTAATGTCCCCCCTTTGGGAATAGCCTAAAGATACATGTACTTCAGTCAGTAGCACTGCCCGGGGGGGGGTGAAAAAAGTAAGAGGGACAGCTAGTTTCAGTTTTAGTTAAAAAGTAGGATGTACCAGTAGTGCTCTCCAACCACCCACTCACACACAATGAAAGACAGAAATTGTTTGTTTGAATAAAGTATAAAGAGAAGCACATTGGTTAATAAAATGGCCATCAATGCACAGAAAAGGTAAACCAGACAGATAGGAGTAATAGGTGGAAAGTACAGAAACGGGTAGGACCTAACAGTGACACCCACTTACCATTACAAAGGAAGAAAAAAACTAAAAACAAAACAAAAAATACAGGTAGAACTCATTTTTATTGCAAAGAATTAATGAAAAAAATCAATATTTCCAGTACCAGTTCCAAACATCATTCACATTTATGCCGACACAAAAAAAGGAAAAAAAAAAGAAGAGAAGGTGGATATTTGGATATTCTGCGTAGTGTGCAAATGAGGCCCCAACAACAGCTTTATAACAACAACAAAAAACAGGTGACCATGTCCATACTTATTCCGTCAGAGTTATATCATCAATGAGAAAACAGGTTACAGTTACAGATCAGTGAGAAAACAGGAAACAGTCAATGAAAATAACATTAATAATAACAATTATAAAATTATGTGCTTTTTAACACAACACAAAAACTTTGAAATCTAGACATATAAATTTTTTTATCGGGTTTTCAATGAAGAAATGACAAAAAAATTATCCAATAATATCACTTTATAGGACCCTTTCGTAGATTGACTCTCATTTAAACAGGTTAAGGAACTGACAAATTATTTGAAAGAAAAAAAATCCCTTCCCCTCCACCTCCGCATTGAATAATATCATTATGACTAGCAACTCTACACTGTTGGTGATGATACTAGGGGTCCTGCTGAATGGCCTGCTGGAGAAGCAAGATAGATAGACCAAAACAACAGAGGAAAAGAAAAGAAGTAGGACCTACCAGGGGTACCCTCCAACTCCAACCATCCCAGGTTATGGAGTGGATGTGGTGTTCTGGAAATACCCAGCTTTGGTGTACAAAAGTCACAGTGGCGTATGGCAGAGGCTTACTCTTTTTTTAGTTTTAGCAAGAGTTTCACAGCACTTGCAACACAATAAGGTCATATAACTGTGAAGATTAGAGGTGTTACAAGAGAGTAACAAACACACACAAAAAAAGTAGGGGAGATAAAGATGATAGATGTTTGATAGGAAAGAAGGAGCAAACCACACCAGAGAACCCGCCAACCACCCCACGGAGTCTTACTCTAAGCAGTCGATATGTCCTAACAAACAAAGAGAAGAGAGAGGTTCTATTCCGTTATATAGAGAGCTGTGAACAGTTTTAAACACGTCCAACAACCAACAGTGACTGCTGCAAGGACGTCACTTACCAACAGGACAACAGGCAGGAACGAGAGAGTTTAGTTTTAATAGAAGAGTTTTATGGCAGTTGCAACACAATCAGGTCACATAAGTGCCCAAGATTAGAGGTGCTACTCAAGAGTAACATGCAAAGAAAAGGAGAAGATATAGGGTCAATAGATGTTTGACAGGAAAGTGGAAAAG